AGCGACGGCCGGCGATGGGCGGCACGAGGTGGTGACGGCGGCCACATGGCGACCAGAGCGGCCGGCATGCCCAGTTCCTTAGAAGACAAATAAGAACCCTGTGCAAGCAGTGCTTGGGGTACACATATAAATCGTGTATAATATAGATATACTATACAGGTTTGTGTACAATCAATGTGCACGTCTGTCGATCCAGCAATATATGAATCTATATATCTCACCGTCTCTGCATGTCTCCATCTGCCTGTATATACCACGGTGCCAACGTACACATTTGCATCGCATCTACTTGCCGGTCACACAATCCAGCGGTCGCACTATCCATCCATCGATCTCACTAAACATATGTAGATGCTACTATGTATCTCTCGAGAAGGCAACCATCGGGACAATTATTGGTACAACCATCGGGGAAACTTGTCTATCTAGATGTATGTACCTGTTTCGGTGTGTATATATATATATACACGTGCATCCAAACATACATCTTTATATATTCCACTGCCTATCCACATGCTTCCGTTAATCAATCTCTCTAGCTGTCTCATAACATGTTTTCCCGCAGTGCGCATTGCTCACTCTATGTATGTATATATATATATATATACACAGGTGTGGTCCCACAAGGTGTACTTTTTGTATCATGGCTTTGCAGAGCGCACCTGTTGGTGTTATGGCCTATCAGAACACATGTTTTGGTACTACAGCCTGGCAGAGCCATCGGGCAAACCATCGGGCCAAGCATCGGGACAGCCATCAGAACAAGCATCGAGACAACCGTCGGGATAACCATCGGGGCAATTTCGTGACAAGCATCGGGACAACCGTCGGGACATCCATCGGGACAACCATCGGGACAACCATTGGGACAACCATCGGGACAATCATCGGGACATCACGGGGACAACCACTGGGACTACCATCGGAACAACCATCGGAACACCCGTCGGGACAAACATCAGGACAAGCATCGGGATGACAGACAACCACCGGGACAACCGTCGGGACAATCGTCGGGACAACCGTCGGGACAACCGTCGGGACAACCGTCGGGACAACCGTCGGGACAACCATCGGGACAACCATCGGGACAACCATCGGGACAACTGCCACACCACGGCCAGGCCCAGGGCGACTCGTTTTTGCCCACGTGGCCGTGGCCAGGGGGCGAGCTCGCGCAGCTTCGCCTCGCCCGCACGCCACGAGCCGAAACCAGCATCGACTTCCTGGTTGGGGTACCTCACGTTTCACTTCGGTCTCACCCCGAACCTCTGGTGTAGTGTATAGATTCAGGTCGGGCATGTCCCGCTACAGGCGGATTTTGGACGGAAGATCAAGCATATCCAACACATTTTCAAACAATTGAAAAAATATAAAAAAAAACATCCCCATATTTTTTAACATTATTTTTGAACATTCCTCCTGTAGAGGACATGCCCGACTGAAATCTAGATCTCGTCGTCCAGTAGATGCCATGCGGGTTGCCGTGGCCTCTCCGGGGCGCTCCAGAGCGCTCCGAGGATTTCTGGAGCGAGCTGCTCGCGTCCCGAGGCCGTCGGCTGCGACTCCTCTCTTTTTGGTCCGCTCTTGCCCTGCCTCCTTGGCCGACTTCTGCCCAACCCCTCCTCCTCCTCCTCCTCCTCCTCCTCCTCCTCCTCCTCCTCCTCCTCCTCCTCCTCCTCCTCCTCCTCTCCTCTCTCTCTCCTCCTCCTCCCCCTCCTCCTCCCCCTCCTCCTCCTCGCCCTCTCGTCTTGCTCCTCCCTCCCCGTTGTCCGAGCACTCCTCCTCCCTTCTCCTCTTCCTCCTCCCTCTCTTCGTCCTCCTCCTCCCTGCTTCGCCCCCCCCCCTCTGCTCCCGCTCCCGCCCCCTCTGGCCTCATTCACCGCGAGCTCGGTGGAGCAGGGGGTGGCTCTCTGGCCAAGGGGTGCGACCGCTGGCGGCCGTCGCGTTCCGCCGCCCTCCTCCCCTCCGTCCGGCCTTGGCCCCCCCCGGACCCAGATCCACGCACCGCCCCTTGCCTCCTAAGATTAGGTCGGGCATGTCCCCCGACAGGCGAATTTTGGACGAACCCAAAAAATACTCAAAGATACTCAAAAATAGTCAAAGATGATCAAACAAATTGTCCCCAGACTATTTTTGACTATTTTTGAATTTTCCCCCTGTAGAGGGACAGGCCCGGGTTCATCCTAAGAGGAAGGAATAGCATAGACATGGACTTTTCGAGGCTCCGCGTGTAACTCTCGGATCGGCCCTGGAACCCCTCGCGGCGCCTCGGGCGGGGCGGCGTCCGGCGCTGGTCAGAGAAATCCGCGCGGACCTCCGAGAGCTTGTCTATAATATTCTCATGTTTCTTCTGATTCTTCTTATGATTCTCCTTATTCTCATTCTTCTTCGATCCTTCTTCGAATCTCCTGCCCCACGTGAGCGCTGGTGAACCGGCTCTGCTTGGACCTCTCCCGTGCTGCTGATTCCTTTGCTGCTGCCCTCCCTGGCTCAGCGC